CCCCAAAACCCCAAAACCCCAAAACCCCAAAACCCCAAAACCCCTAGGTAAAAAATTTAAATTGAAATTAGTCATGAGCTAGTTCAAGTTTATTCAAACATTCTGAGACGATGTTCTCAAAATTCTTTGTGATGTTCGCGTCTGATTCGGACATCCTGACCACTCTTAGATGAGCGTTCTTGATTCCTACCTCTAGTTGGGACTTAGAGAGGATTCCTATGTTGATAGACTTTTCTAAGAACTTCTTCACTTTTCTATAGTCTTGTGCAGCTTCACCTTCTTGGCTAATTTGAAAGAGAACTAGTCTCTTTACAAATTCATGATGATAAAATGGGCAATCACAGTCTTGGATTGCTAGATGGAGATCTGAGTCAGGAGTTCCTGAGTATATCCCTTCGATAATATCATCAAATCTCTGGCAAAGCTCTGCATTTGAGATAGCACTTCCCCAAATTTTACCTACATGGATTTCCAGTGGGAACAATGTTAAGTAAGATATGGCTGATTTCAAAATCTGGAGCTGGGTCTCATCCTGCTGATCAAACAGTTCAGCATGAAGGATATACATTGAGTTTAGGTTTCCATCATAAATCGATCTCGCGATGAACATTGAGAGGTAATCAGCAAAGTAAGGGATATCTAGAGTATAATCTTCATGGTTCTGGAGAAGTTCATCAAATCTATAAGTAAAAATTAGAAAAATCTTTCAACTGAAAGCATACCAGTATGAAATCATTGGATAATTGATCTCTTTAGCTTCAGAAAGCTGCTTCAGCAGTTGAGAAGCGGTTTCTCTCTCATTGTGAGTCTTCCCACATGAAGATAGGATAACCTCACCAATAAACCAAGGTTTCACTATATCTGGGTGTCCAAGATTAGTGAATCTGGTGATGGCATCATCTTTTTCTGAAGAAGCAGCCACTTCTTCGAAGCTTTGCTTTATCTCAATCTCTTTTTCGAAAACCTCAAGTTCATCTTTGAAGAAATCACTAAAATCTTTATCTTGGATCATTTCTTCTCTTAAGTCACCAGGAATTCTGAGAATCACTTGTCTTGGAAGGATATCATCCTCTACGAAGCTTAGGATAAGCTATATCTTAGAGGTCAGGCTTACTTGTGAAATGGTATATGCAAACTGAGGTAAGTCTCCTCTCAAATTTTCAGCATCCATGTACAATCTATCTAATCCTCTTCTAAGCTGTTGTTTGGTAAATAATTCATTCACATAGAGTTTCTTGAGGATCTTTATGGTTCTCTCTAAAATGATGGTTAATTGAATTCAGTGGTTTAAGAAGCCTTAGGAGAAACTAAACGTACTCATGTCATCGTCACTAAGTCTCTCAAGCGTGACTTGTAGTAGCCTAAATTTCAAATTTATTCTGATGAACTACCTTTTGATGAAAATTGAACGATTTTGGCTATGCTGAAATTCGATCAAGAACTTCATGAAATAAAGTATGCACTCCTCTAAAGATCAAAAAAATCTTACTCTCAGTGAGGTTGAACCCATTCTCACAAATAGTCCTTGCCTTAGCATAAAAATCTTCATAATCCTTGATGATAAACTTGGGAGGATCTTTTATCAGCACATTGTGAAGATCCTCAACATTCAAATCATACAAATCTTCCATCTCATTCCTGTGCAACTTATGCTCTTCTTCATGCTGAGATAGGCTTCTTCTGAATTTAACGTACTCATATTCCTAAAAAATCACTCAATACATTTATTTTCGACCAAATTTGCTCTAAAAATGCTCAAAAAGACCGTATCTCTCCTCCAAAGCCACTTAAAACCCTACCTGCATATCATAGTACGCATCGGTTTCTTCTTGGCCGTCCTGGATACCTTTTGAGAAGTTATCGTGCTCCATCTGATTAGCGATCATGTCAATTTTGTAGTCGAATCCTTGCATTTTCTTACCGATACTGGGGCTTGCCATTGGGGATATCTTATTTTATAAAATTTTCAAGATTTTGTTCGTGGGAAGGGGTTTTGGGGTTTTGGGGTTTTGGGGTTTTGGGGTTTTGGGGTTTTGGGG